TCATCATACACCACTCATCATACACCACTCATCATACACTACTCACCATACACCACTCATCATACACTACTCATCATACACTACGCAACAAGCGCGCAATTTCCAAGTGGCCGCAGGCGGCAAGGATCAAAGGCGTGTGTCCATCTGCTGCTGCATCTATGTCAGCTCCAGCCTCGAGCAACATATACACTACGTTCAAGTGGCCGCTCTCCGCGGCGTAGGTCAGGGCCGTGTCGCCATCTGGTGTTGCTGCCTCTTTGTCAGCTCCAACCTGGAGCAAAAAATTCACAACCCGCAAGTGGCCTCTCGCAGCTGCAGCCATCAAGGCGGTTCTCCCATCATCTGGATCTCTTGTGTTCTTGTCAGCTCGAGCCTCGAGCAACAACCGCACCATCTCCAAATGGCCCCGTCCAGCAGCGAAAATAATAGGTGGAAGTGGAGGAAAGTCACTGTCTGCATCGTTCTCCATTGGTAGGTGGAGAGCCATGGGGGGATTGCTTATAACCAAGATCAGGGTGAGGTCACAGAGCCTACTACTTTCGAGCAAACACCTGCACAACGAAACTGAGGCAAAGGGGGGGCCTGGCACAGGTGTCACTCATGCTCTTCATAGCTCCACCCTCCTGTGCGTCGCTGAGGCCGGCACCAGCACCAGCAAGGTATATCATTTGTTTGTGCACCTGAAACAAGGTGAGCCCGCGGACCCAAAAGCAAAAAGAAGCGCGCAACCCAGGAAAAATAAACAAACACAAATTAGCAGGCCAAAACGAAGCATCAGCCCCCTCCAGGCTTCGTGGCAACTATGATATTTCAAGCATCGCGGTTCTGGTGCAACACAGCTCCACTCACCTCCCAACGGGCTTCCGCGAAGCATGGAGCAGCACTACCCCCACCCATGCTTCGTTCTACTTGTGCACTGACCTGGAGCAGCCTGCAATGATGCTGGTGGTGCAACCATGTGCTCGACGCAACATTGCCTGTCGCAGGCATTGTGCACATTTTGGACACCCAAGACCATACCTAAGCCCCGCAACACCGCTCCCTGCCGTTTCAGCCACGACTTGACCGTCTGTCGCGTGCATTGCGCACTTTTTGGACACCCAAGACCATCGTATAAGCCCCGCAGCCTCCCAACGTGCTTCCGCGAAGCATGGAGCAGCACTACCCCCACCCATGCTTCGTTCTACTTGTGCACTGACCCGGAGCAGCCTGCAATGATGCTTGTGGTGCAACCATGTCCTCGTAACTAGCATATCAGCCGCGCAAGCGTCCACACCCATGCACTCCCCACCCCGTCCACCCAAGCCACGCCGTCTCACTCCCCCCCATCTTCCCTCCCCAGCCCCGTCCACAGTCTCGCTCCCCTCCATCTTCATGCGCCCCCCGTCTCGCTCCCCTCCATCTTCCCTCCCAGCCCCCCCCCCCCCCCCCCCCCC